TCACTGGCACAGAACTGGCGCACTGTTCACTGGCAAAGAAAACCAGGTGGCAATATGGTTAATTTTACGCCTCACTGTAAGTGAAAAGTTGCGAGAAAACACCCTCATGAGTTCTAAATTAACAGCTGTATTTCAATGAACACCGATCTTTGACATCGGCTGTCACTGCCTCAATGTATTTACACCAGTTATGCTAATAATGATATTTTAATGGTTAAAATTAGTCGTAACAATCCTTCTTCAAATGTTTCTCACAGTTACTTTCGAATTGAATATTCAGGAAGCAACTGTTCCTAAAACTGCCGTCTTATTTTTCAGTAATATGCATTCATATTCGATTCATTGTAATTATGCTACTTCATTCGTAATTGATGTGTGTCTAAAATTTTCTATTCACAAGCCCTACAGGTAAAGGTCATCGACAGAAAAAACATCTGTCTTGAGCACTGGTGCGTGAACAGCTGTTTGAGACGTGAGCCCTTACAATACCGAGAGTTGACGCCGATTAAGTTGTGCCCACATTGTTACGCTGCGCGCTCTATGAGACAGCGGAAGATTTTGTATCAACAGGGAACTATGCAAAGCAGTTTGCCTCAGCATCAAAGAAAAGGACACGCCCATTCTACTGGCATGGACACAGTGGGTAGTCTCCTTTACCTGTCAGGTGGGGTGTACGTTCCACTTAATTTATTCGTTTGAGAACAAGCTGACCATTTTTTTTAAATGCAGACATTCATTATTGGCAGGATGTCACGGATCTGGCGTCGGCGGTGCCGTCGACAACACCGCTCTCGATGTTCACGTATTGTGCCAGCCTAAAAAGACAGCCGCAAACTGGCGCTCCCTCCCCCACAACCGTTAACTGGCAACCCGGAAATGTAGGCACTCAATTGCGCATACGGAATGGAATCAAGTCGTCGTTACTTGCCTTTCGCTAGACTTGACACTTTGCTTGAGTCGAGAAGGTGTGATGGCAATAAATGTACTTTCAAGCAGTAGTTGGGCACAACCCAAAATCAGCGTCGCATCACTCGTGTAAGGCAACGCTTTTTCTTCAATCAGTAAATAGGAATAATAAAGTAAATAGGAATAATAAAGGCGAAATCACAATCAGGCATTCCCTAATCTCACGCAACATTCACGTGATACCCCCAACAATCAGTGACGAAATTACTCGAGTCCCCCTCCCAATCTCTTAGCAAGTTGCAGGCGGGACTTTTTTTTTTTTTTTCAAACGGCTTGCGTCCGTGTGGCCTGTTGCACACATCTATATATATTAGGAGAACGTTACTGGGCTCTTTTTAACATGTCATTAAGTAAACGTGATCACTTAGATGCCTGTATTGCATAATTCGCGGCATTCATTTTTAAACTAGGCCAAATAAAAGGAGCAAGAAAACAAAGACCCGTGTGCTAAGCCCTGAGTTCTCTAGAATGATTTTTATTGCACAGAAAAAAGTAACTTGCTGTGCAACCAAATATGATTTTTTTTCAACTAATGCCTTTGTTTCTTCTGCTGACAAATTGTGCACACGATGCTTTCTAAGCAGCCAGGAGGTAGGAACATGTCGATAAGAGCAGAGTATTTATAACAATGTGAATAGGCGTTGAAAATGACTTTAATCCTTACACTGATTCCTAATTCACTGATACATATTAAGTGAAATAGCAGCACATCAGTAAAAATATTATTAAACGCGGTGCCTAGATTAGCCAGCATGCCTGACATGCCTCGAACGATATTACTAGCGGGCAGTGCTACTTCGTATGAATGATTGATTTGGGGGGTTTAACGTCCCAAAACCACCATATGATTATGAGAGACGCCGTAGTGGAGGTCTGCGGAAATTTCGACCACTTGGTGTTTTTTAACGTGCACCCAAATCTAAATACACGGGCCACAAACATTTCCGCCTCCATCGGAAATGCAGCCGCCACAGCCGGGATTTGATCCCGCGACCTGCGGGTCAGCAGCCGAGTACCTTAGCCACTAGACCACCGTGGCGGGGCTACTTCGTATGCAGGCTGCTGCATGATAATGCACGTGAACGCAATTTTTTTGAAGAATGACATGAAGTAGATTCTTCATTATTGCACACGCTTGGAAAAAGCGATTAGCACTCGTAAGTGCAACACGCGAAAAATAGTGCTAGCCAAGTTTCTCGAGCACATCAAGGCTGCATGCGCTGTACATCGTCTGCTCAACGCCCCGCAGTCCTGCTTACAGCGCCCCATGCGGCATCGGTGCCTTCGGAGACCCCTTTCCCCGGGTGTTTTTCACACCTCCAAAATCTAGACACCCTACCTTGAGCTACAAGTAGTTGCCGTCGCGCGATTTGAGGTGGCGCTACTGTATGGGGCGCCAGGTATTCGCACGGTGCTCATTTTGAAATTCGAGCACGATGGAACATTTTCCCGAAAGCTTTGCGTGCATGACACTTTGTCACATAATCATAAAATATCCGATGGTTGAGAGCCTACACAGTGCATTTATTTATATGAATCGCACTTCTAGGCTCAGTTCACATATGCCTCGACGCTGCATGTGACTTCCATTGTTCGTCAGCGGTCTCGTCAGTGGCGATGCTTCAAAATGGGTAAGTATTGCTTTGTCCAAAATTGCAAGTCGAGGTACCGTTTTTGTATTGAGCGTGTGTCGCTTTTCAAGGCTCCGTGTAAACTAGAGCACTTGGATGAGTGTCGACGGGTGATTCCGAGAGCTGACGGAGCCTTACAACCTGCTGACCATGTGCGCGCGAACCATTTCTCGAAAGAAGTGATCTCTGCCACATACTATTTAGAATACAAGGAAAACGTGCTGTTGCTCCTGCCAAAGAAACCTACACTCATTGATAATGTTGTGCCTGCTATTTTACCGGGGCTGCCCAAATTACCTGAATTTCCAGCAACAAAAACTAAAAAAACGGGAAAACTCTGCGAAAACGGCTGGCTCTACTGCAGAGTTTTTGGAAGCGACGGAAGTCATAAGGTTCAACTGCATCTGAAGGTCCTGAAATGACCACTGAAAGTACGCCAAATTTATTGATGGTAGACACAGTGACTCCAATACATGGCGATAATGAATCAGCACACACTCATGCAAAAGGCAGCGCTCCAACGAGACAGATGAGGAGCTCGACATCTGAGTCAAACGTGGGAGCAGCCCGCGACACAGTGATCTGTGTTTTGGAGGACCCAATAAAAGATTATCCAATCCAATCAGCAGTGACGGGCCTCCTCCACGTGAAGAAGAGAATGCTTCTCAACACGAAACTGACAGTGTGGGTTTATGCCCTACCAACTCAGCTCCTCATCATGCCATAGAAGTAATTTCTTGTTTTCAATTTTGTTGCCAGTTTTTAGATCGGCCTCATCTATCTGCTTACTCGGACCAACAAACATTATATGTTGTAGGATAACCAGTGAACAGAAATCATTGAACTTACTATTACTGTGATAATATCGTCGAGATTATAGCTACTTTGCCATGCTTGATGTCGTCAAGCTAGATTGTCTCATTTTTTGAATGTCTCTACCAATTTATCGCCACCGTCGTGCGACATTGCAGGCGCACTTCCGAACACGGTACTTACGACAGAATACTGCTATTAAGGCGATGGCTTTAGATGGCCTTAGATGCAACATCAAAAGCGAAATATTATTTTTGGCAGCCCTAGGGGTGAGCTGTGCAAATTTACTGCTTTAGGTAGTGTGATTTCTTTAATTGTAAGATAAGCACATCATCAAGTTAAGGCCGCACGGTTTAACGAAATAGCGAAAAGTTAAGCGGAAGACGCTGACCCGCCGGTCCCGACATTTGTGGGGTACGGGTTAACCCAGGTTTGACCTTCGGGACCCAATGAAGTTCTTCGCACCATACCAAGCTGCTTACACTGCCAGAGGCCAAAATCTGCGTGACACTAAAGGCTCATTCACGCCGAAGACGGCGCGGCCAAGCGGCCAGGCGGGATTTTGGAAGTGGTTAGGGGACGAGTGCGTAAACCTGTTCAGACGGCATGCCTCTTTCGGGTGGCCGCCCGGCAGAAGAGGCGGACATCTCGCGATTTTCTGCGCGTGTCGCTATGACGTGTCAGTGCGTTTCCCAAACATACACCCGCACCAGCACCGTCCGTCGGATGCGTGGCGTTCTGATTAGCTGCGCAAAGCGGCGAACCTCGGCAAGCGGCAAAAAATTGCTCCAAGAACGAGCTCCCTTGCCGCCTGGTTTTTGCCGAGTATTGATCACTGGTGCAAAAACATCTGAGGAAAACGTATAATAGAACAAGACAGCGCCTATTTGTTTTAAATGATGTATTATCAAAATGCAAGCACGACCAGCAGTCTTTCAAGGAAGTATTGATTACTTATGATGTTCTAAATTTAAAAACTTATGGTTACCAAGCGACTATATGAATAATGAAGTTTGGTATGTTAATTCAGCAACACAACAAGCATAGAACACGAGAATCAATATGGCTACCATGCTAACCTCGTAAGCACATACTTGTTACATATTTTTATAACAAGTCTACTTTATATTTTCTATACTGTATATTTATTTATTCTATTTTATTGTTATTTGTTTTAATTTTAACAATACATTTAGCCTGTTAGCTCAGCTAAGCAGTTATTAAAATATTTAGGCATCCCCCTCCTCTCTTTCTTTCTAGATACCAATGCTGCGCTATTTGTGGCTGATCTCCTTAGTGGGTTGAACCAATCCTTTGGCGTCCAACCAACTAACCAACCAACCACGTGCATTAAACACGAGAGGCGCGTGCATTGGACCCGATAGACGCGCAAAAACAGCTGCCATAAAACGCACCGATCATCAAGCGGACCAGCGCACGATGTCGGCCATTTCCATAGCGGAGAGCGCATTGCGACTTCCGTAGGATCCACAAGGTGCGTCGTTTGGCAAAGCCACCGAAGCGTCCGACAATAGCACCATCGCAGAATAGCAAGAGGCGCTCCAGCGACACCGCAAAGTCGGCCCCAAAATGCCACTACGCTGCAACAACCCGCCGTCGCCCTGGGCGCGCGTGAACGTGGCCGTGAGGGTGCGCCCCCTAAACGAGCGCGAGTCAGAGACCGTCCAGCATCGTCTGCGCTGCGTGGGTGACGACAGGTGCCTCGGGTTAAACCCCAAAGCCGTAGCCGAGTCCGTCAACTTTCGAGGGCAGCAGGCATGCGCGGGTGTCGTCAAGCCACACAAGGACTATACTTTCATGTTTGATAAGGTCTTTGGTGAAGATAAGAACAGTAAGTACAATTGTGAGCGCACCACCAAAGAGATGCTCACGACGCTTCTTGACGGCTACTATTGTTCCGTTTTCGCCTACGGTGCAACCGGAACTGGCAAGACGTTCACCATGCTGGGCTCCGAGGATTGTCCCGGGTTGGTCTCCCTGACGGCAAGTGAGCTCTACCGGTGCGTGGATAGGCTCCGCTCCAACAGCCAGTCATGCGACGTTGCGGTCGCCTACATGGAAGTCTGCAACGAGGTGGTACGCGACCTGCTGTGCCCCAAAGGACCGTCATTGGTCGTGCGGGACGACCCAGCCAAGAGCATCGCCATCTCCAACCTTTCTATTCACAACGTGAAGGAGTCTGGGACACTGTTCGAGTTCCTCCAGAAAGGCAACAGGAACAGGACCAGCATGCCACCCATTTCAATTCAGAGTCGTCGCGGTTTCATACAATAATTCAGATTTACATAACGCAGACGGAGAACGTGACCAGCACGAGCAAAGAGATTCGCGTCTCCAAGGTGAGCTTTGTCGACCTAGCTGGCTCGGAACGTGTCGCTGCCGGGAACAAAGACATCAAGGACCAGATACGCGAGGGCACCAAAGTTCACCTGTCGCTTCTGACCCTGGGCAACTGCTTTGATGCCCTCTCCAAGGGTGGGGCTCAGTGGGTTCCGTACCAGGACTCTAAGGTGACGCACATCCTGAAAGACTCTCTGGGTGGCACTTGTCGCACCCTCTTGATGGCTTTCGTGTCGCCTTCCAAGCTCAGCTACACCGACACCCACAACACTCTCAAGTATGCCGTGCGCGCCATGAAGATCGAACTGCAGGCCCAGAAAAAGGTCCACAACGTCAACGCACACACGCCTATGTACAGCTCCCTCGTAGAGGAGTACAAGCGAAAGGTGGAAGGCCTTCAGCGCAAGCTCGACAAGGCAGAAAACGAGAAGTCCAAGCTCGAGATCCAGGTGGTCGAGCTCAAAAAGAGCCTCGCGACGGCCAAGGACGCCCTGCTCCAAGATCAACATACTGACGCCGGCAGCATCGTTCCAGCTTCGCATAACGATGCCCTGTCGACGACGTCCGTCCTCTCACTGACCATCGAGGCGAACGAGCGCAGCGACGACAGCAGGACGGCCTACTTCTCGACACTACCAGAAAGATCTATGCAGCACGAGCGGACATCATTAGGCAGAAATGGGAAAACGAAAACATCCTTCGCGCCAGCGTGTTGAAGGAGAACTGGAAATAGCAGACGGCGAAGAATGTCAACTTACTCCAGGGCTCCAGTGAAGACACTTGAAGGTGTCAGAGCCCGATCATCACTTTTTGAAGTCTTAAGCAGCCAAACGTCTTGCTGCAAAAGAAAAGTTGAAGGCTCTTCACAACGAACAAATGCGAAACTTCGAGTGCAGCAAAGACCTCCTGAATGAGGCTTCCGCTGCCGGTTGCTTGGAGGCTTTGGTAGCAGAGATAGCAAAACTGGAGTGGTGGTCGAGCGAATGGAAATGCAGGGTCAGTGACAGATGTTCGCCGAGCTCACCAAACTTCTGTCTCAGAATTGCAGCCACTGGGAGGACATGAACAGCGTTGCAGTTCCTCACCTGCGCAGCCTCTACACCATTCTGGAGGCCACGAACTGCTGCTGCTCGGACCAACGAGATACCCACAATGCTGTTGTCAAAAAGGCCAAGGGTCCCGGTGTCACATGGGCAGATTAAGAGAAACGGGTAAACGGTCAACTGGATCTCACAAATCTGCTCCACGCTCCCGATTGGCGGCAGGCCACCACAGTGCAACTGAAGTCTGTAGCTCCGCAATCCATTAAACTCGATGACTCTTGACTTGTATTGTCCTCTAGGAAATTTTGGCTCATACTCACAAGGAGGATTGGCACACTGTACGCAATAGCGCAAATTTTTTACACAATTAACGCTTCATAAAAAATAAGAACTTAGATATCGTCATTATTAACGTTCCTTTAAAAATATAAAAGAGGGTATATGGTCTAAGGAATCAGTTAAACCAGAATCTGCAAAACAAATCAGCAAAATGGAGAACGGGGACCAAAAATGGGATATATCTGGCGGTACCTCTGGCAGCGTATCCTCTCGGTTGCCTGAATGTATTTATGTATGGGACAGAATATCACGGCGGCCCGCACACAACTGACTTGGCTCCAAACGATAAAAGGGTGGGTGTGGTAACTTCCAATTTCAGCATACCAATCGGTCACAAGAAGTATTCGGTGCAGTGAGGCGAAACAGCGGCATGTGCGACGAAAGTGATCAATTGTTTCCGGTTCATTGCAGGCTGCACATAGGTCAGTTAATTAAAGTCCTGATTTGAAAAGATAACGATTTCATCGAGGAACTCTACAGCGAAAGCTTCTGAGGGTTCCCCCTTATAGACGTGAAAGGCATTTTCGGTGTTCAATGTGAATTGCAAATGCCGCCCTTCTTCACATTGTAGGAGCGATATTTCGTGGATTTTGAAGATTAACAGGCGTTTGATTTGATCGGCAGTAATAAAAACTGCGAAGCTACTAGTACCACCGGGAAATTCAAAGATACCGAAGCGAGCGAGTTAGCAGTATCATTATGCAAGTCCAGCATGCCCGTGGACTCACAGAAACCGAACTTCTGATAGGCTACGCGGTACGCGAGACCAAAATATTCTTGGTAGAGGAGACTGCTTTGCGCACGTTAAATGTGTACAAACAGACAAAGCATCCAAAATATCTAAAGTTTTTTTTGCTGAGAAATTATTTTTCGAAGAGCCAATTTAATATCCAAGAATTGAGCGAGTAAAATTGTCGGGAAGTCAACCAATCGGAAGGCAAAGGACGAATAAAGCTGATGAGAAAAAGTGCCTACCCCGCCTTCTGAAGATTTTGCGTTGCATCCGTCAAAATTACCACGTACATAGGAAAATTGTAGACATGGTCTTGAAAGAACCCCTTCATAACCTTCTTTAAAAGCATCTTAGCACTTCTTGGGAAATATCATCGAAAACTAAGTCAACTGGCATCAAATACAAGGTTCGGGGAGCTAAATGCTTGAGGGAAACGTGAACATTCAATAACAAAGACTCGACGAAAATGACTTGACGTCGTTGATAGTGACGTCACGGCCGCTTAAAGAAAGAATCTGGGGATTTGATGAAAACTGTCTGAGAACGGGAGAGGGGTGCATCATAGAGTTTTAAAAATATTTTCCCGTTAAGCTGTCGAAATCTTACATCAAATTAAAAGTTTCGAGCTCTTAAATAAACACGCCATTCGCAACACACCTAGGTAGCCCGAGACACAGCCGCAGAGCTCGCCTTTCTAGCAATATAGGAGATGTTAATTTGTACTCAGAACTTCCATAAAACAGGACGCACCCAAACTCCAGAATTGGGCGTACGTAATGTTTGTAAACATCATAAGTAACGTAACCCTGCGCAAACCTGAATTCTTATTGCAACACCGCCGTAGCAATCCTAAAGCGCTTTCTGCTTTACGGGTGTTTGATTCTATTTGTTGCTGCCAATAGAAATTGCCAACTTAAACAATGCCTAGATATTTTAGTCCGTTACTTCTGGAATCAGATCATTTAGATAATGCAGTGAAAGAAATACGGGAACAGATAGAGGAAATACAAGCAGAGCACATTTGTTAGCATTAAGCGAAAAAGACAGCCCACCAAGCCACACTTCAAGCTCACACAAGTATGACTATAGGATTTCATACAAAGTATTGATATCTCGGAATGACGCGAAAAGAACAATATCATCGGCATAGACGCAAAGAGGAGCAGTTTTATGAACTGGAGTTGATGATAATAAGATAACAAATAAAAATATATGACAGACCTGATCCTTTGAAGGCTCCTTTGAAGACTCCTTTGTAGGCTTGCACGGGTGGCTCGTCTTCGCCGTCTTCGTTCACTGGCACAGAACTGGCGCATTGTTCACTGGCAAAAAAAACCAGGTGGCAATATGGTTAATTTTTACGCCTCACTGTAAGTGAAAAGTTGCGAGAAAACATCCTCATGAGTTCTAAATTAACAGCTGTATTTCAATGAACACCGATCTTTGACATTGGCTGTCACTGCCTCAATGTATTTACCCCAGTTATGCTAATAATGATATTTTAATGGTTAAAATTATTCGTAACAATCCTTTTTCAAATGTTTCTCACAGTTACTTTCAATTGAATATTCAGGAAGCAACTGTTCCTAAAACTGCCGTCTTATTTTTCCAATAATATGCAAGTCATATTCGATTCGTTGTAATTATGCTACTTCATTCGTAATTGATGTGCGTCTAAAATTTTCTATTCACAAAGCCCTACAGGTAAAGGTCATCGACAGAAAAAACATCTGTCTTGAGCACTGGTGCGTGAACAGCTGTTTGAGACGTGAGCCTTACAATACCGAGAGTTGACGCTGATTAGGTTGTGCCCACAATGTTACGTTGCGCGCTCTATGAGACAGCGGAGGATTTTGTTTGTATCAACAGGGAACTATGCAAAGCAGTTTGCCTCAGCAACAAACAAAAGGACACCCCCATTTTACTGGCGAGGGCACAGTGGGTAGTCTCCTTTACCTGTCAGGTGGGGTGTACGTTCCACTTAATTTATTCGTTTGAGAACAAGCTGACCATTTTTTTTAATGCAGAACATTCATTATTGGCAGGATGTCACGGATCCGGCGTCGGCGGTGCCGTCGACAACACCGCTCTCGATGTTCACGTATTGTGCCAGCCTAAAAAGACAGCCGCAAAACTGGCGCCCCCCTCCCCCACAACCGTTAACTGGCAACCCCGTAAATGTAGGCACTCAATTGCGCATACGGAATGGAATCAAGTCGTCGTTACTTGCCTTTCGCTAGACTTGACGCTTTGCTTGACTCGAGAAGGCGCGATGACAACAAAAGTACCTTCAAGCAGTAGTTGGGCACAACCCAAATCAGCGTTTCATCCCTCGTTGAAGGCAACGCTTTTCCTTATCAGTAAATAGGAATAATAAAGTAAATAGGAATAATAAAGGCGAAATCACAATTAGGCATTCCCTGATCTCGCGCAACATTCACGTGATACCCCCAACAATCAGTGACGCAATTACTTGAGTCCCCCTCCCAATCTCTTGGCAAGTTGCAGGCGGGACTTTTTTTTTTTTTTTCAAACGGCTTGCGTCCCCGGGGCCTGTTGCACACATCTATATATATATTAGGAGAACGTTACTGGGCTCTTTTTAACATGTCATTAAGTAAACGTGATCACTTAGATGCTTGTATTGCTTAACTCGCGGCATTCATTTTTAAACTAGGCCAACAAAAGGAGCAAGAACACAAATGCCCGTGTGCTAAGCCCTGTATTCTCTAGACTGATTTTTATTGCACAGATGAAAGTAACTTGCTGTGCCACCAAATATGATTTCTTTTCAACTAATGCCTTTGTTTCTTCTGCCAACAAATTGTGCACACGATGCTTTCTCAGCAGCCAGGAGATAGGAACATGTCGATAAGAGCAGAGTATTTATAACAATGTGAATAGGCGTTGAAAATGACTTTAATCATTTACACTGATTCCTAATTCACTGATACATATTAAGTGAAATAGCAGCACATCAGTAAAAAATATTATTATTAAACACGGTGCCTAGATTAGCCAGCATGCCTGACATGCCTCAAACGATATTACTAGCGCGCAGTGCTACTTCGTATGATTGATTGATTTGGGGGGTTTAACGTCGCAAAACCACCATATTATTATGAGAGACGCCGTAGTGGAGGGCTCCGGAAATTTCGAACACCTGGGGTTCTTTAACGTGCACCCAAATCTGAATACACGGGCCTACAACATTTCCGCCTCCATTGGAAATGCAGCCGCCACAGCCGGGATTTGATCCCGCGACCTGCGGGTCAGCAGCCGAGTACCTTAGCCACTAGACCACCGTGGCGGGGCTACTTCGTATGCAGGCTGCTGCATGATAATGCACGTGAACGCAATTTTTTGAAGAATGACATGAAGTAGATTCTTCATTATTGCACACGCTTGGAAAAAGCGATTAGCACTCGTAAGTGCAACACGGGAAAAATAGTGCTAGCCAAGTTTCTCGAGCACATCAAGGCTGCATGCGCTTTACATCGTCTGCTCAACGCCCCGCAGTCCTGCTTACAGCGCCCCATGCGGCATCGGTGCACTTCGGAGACCCCTTTCCCCGGGTGTTTTTCACACCTCCAAAATCTAGACACCCTACCTTGAGCTACAAGTAGTTGCCGTCGCGCGATTTGAGGTGGCGCTACTGTATGGGGCGCCAGGTATTCGCACGGTGCTCATTTTGAAATTCGAGCACGATGGAACATTTTCCCGAAAGCTTTGCGTGCATGACACTTTGAAGTGATCTCTGCCACATACTATTTAGAATACAAGGAAAACGTGCTGTTGCTCCTGCCAAAGAAACCTACACTCATTGATAATGTTGTGCCTGCTATTTTACCGGGGCTGCCCAAATTACCTGAATTTCCAGCAACAAAAACTAAAAAAACGGGAAAACTCTGCGAAAACGGCTGGCTCTACTGCAGAGTTTTTGGAAGCGACGGAAGTCATAAGGTTCAACTGCATCTGAAGGTCCTGAAATGACCACTGAAAGTACGCCAAATTTATTGATGGTAGACACAGTGACTCCAATACATGGCGATAATGAATCAGCACACACTCATGCAAAAGGCAGCGCTCCAACGAGACAGATGAGGAGCTCGACATCTGAGTCCAAACGTGGGAGCAGCCCGCGACACAGTGATCTGTGTTTTGGAGGACCCAATAAAAGATTATCCAATCCAATCAGCAGTGACGGGCCTCCTCCACGTGAAGAAGAGAATGCTTCTCAACACGAAACTGACAGTGTGGGTTTATGCCCTACCAACTCAGCTCCTCATCATGCCATAGAAGTAATTTCTTGTTTTCAATTTTGTTGCCAGTTTTTAGATCGGCCTCATCTATCTGCTTACTCGGACCAACAAACATTATATGTTGTAGGATAACCAGTGAACAGAAATCATTGAACTTACTATTACTGTGATAATATCGTCGAGATTATAGCTACTTTGCCATGCTTGATGTCGTCAAGCTAGATTGTCTCATTTTTGAATGTCTCTACCAATTTATCGCCACCGTCGTGCGACATTGCAGGCGCACTTCCGAACACGGTACTTACGACAGAATACTGCTATTAAGGCGATGGCTTTAGATGGCCTTAGATGCAACATCAAAAGCGAAATATTATTTTGGCAGCCCTAGGGGTGAGCTGTGCAAATTTACTGCTTTAGGTAGTGTGATTTCTTTAATTGTAAGATAAGCACATCATCAAGTTAAGGCCGCACGGTTTAACGAAATAGCGAAAAGTTAAGCGGAAGACGCTGACCCGCCGGTCCCGACATTTGTGGGGTACGGGTTAACCCAGGTTTGACCTTCGGGACCCAATGAAGTTCTTCGCACCATACCAAGCTGCTTACACTGCCAGAGGCCAAAATCTGCGTGACACTAAAGGCTCATTCACGCCGAAGACGGCGCGGCCAAGCGGCCAGGCGGGATTTTGGAAGTGGTTAGGGGACGAGTGCGTAAACCTGTTCAGACGGCATGCCTCTTTCGGGTGGCCGCCCGGCAGAAGAGGCGGACATCTCGCGATTTTCTGCGCGTGTCGCTATGACGTGTCAGTGCGTTTCCCAAACATACACCCGCACCAGCACCGTCCGTCGGATGCGTGGCGTTCTGATTAGCTGCGCAAAGCGGCGAACCTCGGCAAGCGGCAAAAAATTGCTCCAAGAACGAGCTCCCTTGCCGCCTGGTTTTTGCCGTGTATTTTTGTTAATATTGATCACTGGTGCAAAAACATCTGAGGAGAAACGTATAATAGAACAAGACAGCGCCTATTTGTTTTAAATGATGTATTATCAAAATGCAAGCACGACCAGCAGTCTTTCAAGGAAGTATTGATTACTTATGATGGTTCTAAAATTTAAAAACTTATGGTTACCAAGCGACTATATGAATAATGAATTTTGGTATGTTAATTCAGCAACACAACAAGCATAGAACACGAGAATCAATATGGCTACCATGCTAACCTCGTAAGCACATACTTGTTACATATTTTTATAACAAGTCTACTTTATATTTCTATACTGTATATTTATTTATTCTATTTTATTGTTATTTGTTTTAATTTTAAACAATACATTTTAGCCTGTTAGCTCAGCTAAGCAGTTATTAAAATATTTAGGCATCCCCCTCCTCTCTTTCTTTCTAGATACCAATGCTGCGCTATTTGTGGCTGATCTCCTTAGTGGGTTGAACCAATCCTTTGGCGTCCAACCAACTAACCAACCAACCACGTGCATTAACACGAGAGGCGCGTGCATTGGACCCGATAGACGCGCAAAAACAGCTGCCATAAAACGCACCGATCATCAAGCGGACCAGCGCACGATGTCGGCCATTTCCATAGCGGAGAGCGCATTGCGACTTCCGTAGGATCCACAAGGTGCGTCGTTTGGCAAAGCCACCGAAGCGTCGACAATAGCACCATCGCAGAATAGCAAGAGGCGCTCCAGCGACACCGCAAAGTCGGCCCCAAAATGCCACTACGCTGGCAACAACCCGCCGTCGCCCTGGGCGCGCGTGAACGTGGCCGTGAGGGTGCGCCCCCTAAACGAGCGCGAGTCAGAGACGTCCAGCATCGTCTGCGCTGCGTGGGTGACGACAGGTGCCTCGGGTTAAACCCCAAAGCCGTAGCCGAGTCCGTCAACTTTCGAGGGCAGCAGGCATGCGCGGGTGTCGTCAAGCCACACAAGGACTATACTTTCATGTTTGATAAGGTCTTTGGTGAAGATAAGAACAGTAAGTACAATTGTGAGCGCACCACCAAAGAGATGCTCACGACGCTTCTTGACGGCTACTATTGTTCCGTTTCGCCTACGGTGCAACCGGAACTGGCAAGACGTTCACCATGCTGGGCTCCGAGGATTGTCCGGGTTGGTCTCCCTGACGGCAAGTGAGCTCTACCGGTGCGTGGATAGGCTCCGCTCCAACAGCCAGTCATGCGACGTTGCGGTCGCCTACATGGAAGTCTGCAACGAGGTGGTACGCGACCTGCTGTGCCCCAAAGGACCGTCATTGGTCGTGCGGGACGACCCAGCCAAGAGCATCGCCATCTCCAACCTTTCTATTCACAACGTGAAGGAGTCTGGGACACTGTTCGAGTTCCTCCAGAAAGGCAACAGGAACAGGACACAGCATGCCACCCATTTCAATTCAGAGTCGTCGCGGTTTCATACAATAATTCAGATTTACATAACGCAGACGGAGAACGTGACCAGCACGAGCAAAGAGATTCGCGTCTCCAAGGTGAGCTTTGTCGACCTAGCTGGCTCGGAACGTGTCGCTGCCGGGAACAAAGACATCAAGGACCAGATACGCGAGGGCACCAAAGTTCACCTGTCGCTTCTGACCCTGGGCAACTGCTTTGATGCCCTCTCCAGGGTGGGGCTCAGTGGGTTCCGTACCAGGACTCTAAGGTGACGCACATCCTGAAAGACTCTCTGGGTGGCACTTGTCGCACCCTCTTGATGGCTTTCGTGTCGCCTTCCAAGCTCAGCTACACCGACACCCACAACACTCTCAAGTATGCCGTGCGCGCCATGAAGATCGAACTGCAGGCCCAGAAAAAGGTCCACAACGTCAACGCACACACGCCTATGTACAGCTCCCTCGTAGAGGAGTACAAGCGAAAGGTGGAAGGCCTTCAGCGCAAGCTCGACAAGGCAGAAAACGAGAAGTCCAAGCTCGAGATCCAGGTGGTCGAGCTCAAAAAGAGCCTCGCGACGGCCAAGGACGCCCTGCTCCAAGATCAACATACTGACGCCGGCAGCATCGTTCCAGCTTCGCATAGATGCCCTGTCGACGACGTCCGTCCTCTCACTGACCATCGAGGCGAACGAGCGCAGCGACGACAGCAGGACGGCCTACTTTCTCGACACTACCAGAAAGATCTATGCAGCACGAGCGGACATCATTAGGCAGAAATGGGAAAACGAAAACATCCTTCGCGCCAGCGTGTTGAAGGAGAACTGGAAATAGCAGACGGCGAAGAATGTCAACTTACTCCAGGGCTCCAGTGAAGACACTTGAAGGTGTCAGAGCCCGATCATCACTTTTTGAAGTCTTAAGCAGCCAAACGTCTTGCTGCAAAAGAAAAGTTGAAGGCTCTTCACAACGAACAAATGCGAAACTTCGAGTGCAGCAAAGACCTCCTGAATGAGGCTTCCGCTGCCGGTTGCTTGGAGGCTTTGGTAGCAGAGATAGCAAAACTGGAGTGGTGGTCGAGCGAATGGAAATGCAGGGTCAGTGACAGATGTTCGCCGAGCTCACCAAACTTCTGTCTCAGAATTGCAGCCACTGGGAGGACATGAACAGCGTTGCAGTTCCTCACCTGCGCAGCCTCTACACCATTCTGGAGGCCACGAACTGCTGCTGCTCGGACCAACGAGATACCCACAATGCTGTTGTCAAAAAGGCCAAGGGTCCCGGTGTCACATGGGCAGATTAAGAGAACGACGGGTCAAACGGTCAACTGGATCTCACAAATCTGCTCCACGCTCCCGATTGGCGGCAGGCCACCACAGTGCAACTGAAGTCTGTAGCTCCGCAATCCATTAAACTCGATGACTCTTGACTTGTATTGTCCTCTAGGAAATTTTGGCTCATACTCACAAGGAGGATTGGCCACCTGTACGCAATAGCGCAAATTTTTTACACAATTAACGCTTCATAAAAAATAAGAACTTAGATATCGTCATTATTAACGTTCCTTTAAAAATATAAAAAGGGTATATGGTCTAAGGAATCAGTTAAACCAGAATCTGCAAAACAAATCAGCAAAATGGAGAACGGGGACCAAAAATGGGATATATCTGGCGGTACCTCTGGCAGCGTATCCTCTCGGTTGCCTGAATGTATTTATGTATTGCTGACAGAATATCACGGCGGCCCGCACACAACTGACTTGGCTCCAAACGATAAAAGGGTGGTGTGGTAACTTCCAATTTCAGCATACCAATCGGTCTCACAAGAAGTATTCGGTGCAGTGAGGCGAAACAGCGGCATGTGCGACGAAAGTGATCAATTGTTTCCGGTTCATTGCAGGCTGCACATAGGTCAGTTAATTAAAGTCCTGATTGAAAAGATAACGATTTCATCGAGGAACTCTACAGCGAAAGCTTCTGAGGGTTCCCCTTATAGACGTGAAAGGCATTTTCGGTGTTCAATGTGAATTGCAAATGCCGCCCTTCTTCACATTGTAGGAGCGATATTTCGTGGATTTTGAAGATTAACAGGCGTTTGATTTGATCGGCAGTAATAAAAACTGCGAAGCTACTAGTACCACCGGGAAATTCAAAGATACCGAAGCGAGCGAGTTAGCAGTATCATTATGCAAGTCCAGCATGCCCGTGGACTCACAGAAACCGAACTTCTGATAGGCTACGCGGTACGCGAGACCAAAATATTCTTGGTAGAGGAGACTGCTTGCGCACGTTAAATGTGTACAAACAGACAAAGCATCCAAAATATCTAAAGTTTTTTTTTGCTGAGAAATTATTTTTCGAAGAGCCAATTTAATATCCAAGAATTGAGCGAGTAAAATTGTCGGGAAGTCAACCAATCGGAAGGCAAAGGACGAATAAAGCTGATGAGAAAAAGTGCCTACCCCCGCCTTCTGAAGATTTTGCGTTGCATCCGTCAAAATTACCACGTACATAGGAAAATTGTAGACATGGTCTTGAAAGAACCCCTTCATAACCTTCTTTAAAAGCATCTTAGCACTTCTTGGGAAATATCATCGAAAACTAAGTCAACTGGCATCAAATACAAGGTTCGGGGAGCTAAATGCTTGAGGGAAACGTGAACATTCAATAACAAAGACTCGACGAAAATGACTTGACGTCGTTGATAGTGACGTCACGGCCGCTTAAAGAAAGAATCTGGGGATTTGATGAAAACTGTCTGAGAACGGGAGAGGGGTGCATCATAGAGTTTTAAAAATATTTTCCCGTTAAGCTGTCGAAATCTTACATCAAATTAAAAGTTTCGAGCTCTTAAATAAACACGCCATTCGCAACACACCTAGGTAGCCCGAGACACAGCCGCAGAGCTCGCCTTTCTAGCAATATAGGAGATGTTAATTTGTACTCAGAACTTCCATAAAACAGGACGCACCCAAACTCCAGAATTGGGCGTACGTAATGTTTGTAAACATCATAAGTAACGTAACCCTGCGCAAACCTGAATTCTTATTGCAACACCGCCGTAGCAATCCTAAAGCGCTTTCTGCTTTACGGGTGTTTGATTCTATTTGTTGCTGCCAATAGAAATTGCCAACTTAAACAATGCCTAGATATTTTAGTCCGTTACTTCTGGAATCAGATCATTTAGATAATGCAGTGAAAGAAATACGGGAACAGATAGAGGAAATACAAGCAGAGCACATTTGTTAGCATTAAGCGAAAAAGACAGCCCACCAAGCCACACTTCAAGCTCACACAAGTATGACTATAGGATTTCTACAAAGTATTGATATCTCGGAATGACGCGAAAAGAACAATATCATCGGCATAGACGCAAAGAGGAGCAGTTTTATGAACTGGAGTTGATGATAATAAGATAACAAATAAAAATATATGACAGAACTGATCCTTTGAAGGCTCCTTTGAAGACTCCTTTGTAGGCTTGCACGGGTGGCTCGTCTTCGCCGTCTTCGTTCACTGGCACAGAACTGGCGCATTGTTCACTGGCAAAAAAAACCAGGTGGCAATATGGTTAATTTTTACGCCTCACTGTAAGTGAAAAGTTGCGAGAAAACATCCTCATGAGTTCTAAATTAACAGCTGTATTTCAATGAACACCGATCTTTGACATTGGCTGTCACTGCCTCAATGTATTTACCCCAGTTATGCTAATAATGATATTTTAATGGTTAAAATTATTCGTAACAATCCTTTTTCAAATGTTTCTCACAGTTACTTTCAATTGAATATTCAGGAAGCAACTGTTCCTAAAACTGCCGTCTTATTTTTCCAATAATATGCAAGTCATATTCGATTCGTTGTAATTATGCTACTTCATTCGTAATTGATGTGCGTCTAAAATTTTCTATTCACAAAGCCCTACAGGTAAAGGTCATCGACAGAAAAAACATCTGTCTTGAGCACTGGTGCGTGAACAGCTGTTTGAGACGTGAGCCCTTACAATACCGAGAGTTGACGCTGATTAGGTTGTGCCCACAATGTTACGTTGCGCGCTCTATGAGACAGCGGAGGATTTTGTTTGTATCAACAGGGAACTATGCAAAGCAGTTTGCCTCAGCAACAAACAAAAGGACACCCCCATTTTACTGGCGAGGGCACAGTGGGTAGTCTCCTTTACCTGTCAGGTGGGGTGTACGTTCCACTTAATTTATTCGTTTGAGAACAAGCTGACCATTTTTTTTAATGCAGAACATTCATTATTGGCAGGATGTCACGGATCCGGCGTCGGCGGTGCCGTCGACAACACCGCTCTCGATGTTCACGTATTGTGCCAGCCTAAAAGACAGCCGCAAAACTGGCGCCCCCCTCCCCCACAACCGTTAACTGGCAACCCCGTAAATGTAGGCACTCAATTGCGCATACGGAATGGAATCAAGTCGTCGTTACTTGCCTTTCGCTAGACTTGACGCTTTGCTTGACTCGAGAAGGCGCGATGACAACAAAAGTACCTTCAAGCAGTAGTTGGGCACAACCCAAATCAGCGTTTCATCCCTCGTTGAAGGCAACGCTTTTCCTTATCAGTAAATAGGAATAATAAAGTAAATAGGAATAATAAAGGCGAAATCACAATTAGGCATTCCCTGATCTCGCGCAACATTCACGTGATACCCCCAACAATCAGTGACGCAATTACTTGAGTCCCCCTCCCAATCTCTTGGCAAGTTGCAGGCGGGACTTTTTTTTTTTTTTTCAAACGGCTTGCGTCCCCGGGGCCTGTTGCACACATCTATATATATTAGGAGAACGTTACTGGGCTCTTTTTAACATGTCATTAAGTAAACGTGATCACTTAGATGCTTGTATTGCTTAACTCGCGGCATTCATTTTTAAACTAGGCCAACAAAAAGGAGCAAGAACACAAATGCCCGTGTGCTAAGCCCTGTATTCTCTAGACTGATTTTTATTGCACAGATGAAAGTAACTTGCTGTGCCACCAAATATGATTTCTTTTCAACTAATGCCTTTGTTTCTTCTGCCAACAAATTGTGCACACGATGCTTTCTCAGCAGCCAGGATAGGAACATGTCGATAAGAGCAGAGTATTTATAACAATGTGAATAGGCGTTGAAAATGACTTTAATCATTTACACTGATTCCTAATTCACTGATACATATTAAGTGAAATAGCAGCACATCAGTAAAAAATATTATTATTAAACACGGTGCCTAGATTAGCCAGCATGCCTGACATGCCTCAACGATATTACTAGCGCGCAGTGCTACTTCGTATGATTGATTGATTTGGGGGGTTTAACGTCGCAAAACCACCATATTATTATGAGAGACGCCGTAGTGGGGGCTCCGGAAATTTCGAACACCTGGGGTTCTTTAACGTGCACCCAAATCTGAATACACGGGCCTACAACATTTCCGCCTCCATTGGAAATGCAGCCGCCACAGCCGGGATTTGATCCCGCGACCTGCGGTCAGCAGCCGAGTACCTTAGCCACTAGACCACCGTGGCGGGGCTACTTCGTATGCAGGCTGCTGCATGATAATGCACGTGAACGCAATTTTTTGAAGAATGACGAAGTAGATTCTTCATTATTGCACACGCTTGGAAAAAGCGATTAGCACTCGTAAGTGCAACACGGGAAAAATAGTGCTAGCCAAGTTTCTCGAGCACATCAAGGCTGCATGCGCTTTACATCGTCTGCTCAACGCCCCGCAGTCCTGCTTACAGCGCCCCATGCGGCATCGGTGCACTTCGGAGACCCCTTTCCCCGGGTGTTTTTCACACCTCCAAAATCTAGACACCCTACCTTGAGCTACAAGTAGTTGCCGTCGCGCGATTTGAGGTGGCGCTACTGTATGGGGCGCCAGGTATTCGCACGGTGCTCATTTTGAAATTCGAGCACGATGGAACATTTTCCCGAAAGCTTTGCGTGCATGACACTTTGTCATATAATCATAAAATATCCGATGGTTGAGAGCCTACACAGTGCATTTATTTATATGATTCGCACTTCTAGGCTCAGTTCACATACGCCTCGACGCTGCATGTGACTCCCAGTGTTCGTCAGCGGCTTCGTCAGTGGCGATGCTTCAAAATGGGTAAGTATTGCTTTGTCCAAAATTGCAAGTCGAGGTATCGTTCTTGTATTGAGCGTGTGTCGCTTTTCAAGGCTCCGTGTGAACTAGAGTACTTGGATAAGTGTCGACGGACAATTCCGAGAGCTGACAGAGCTTTGCAACCTGCTGACCAAGTGTGCGCGAAGCATTTCTCGGAAGAAGTGATCTCTGCCACATACTATTTAGAATACAAGGAAAACGTGCTGTTGCTCCTGCCAAAGAAACCTACACTCATTGATAATGTTGTACCTGCTATTTTACCGGGGCTGCCCAAATTACCTGAATTTCCAGCAACAAAAACTAAAAAAACGGGAAAACTCTGCGAAAACGGCTGGCTCTACTGCGGAGTTTTTGGAAGCGACGGAAGTCATAAGGTTCAACTGCATCTGAAGGTCCTGACATGACCACTGGAAGTACGCCAAGATTATTGCGCGTCGATACAGTGACTCCAATACATGGCGATAATGAATCAGCAGACACTCATGCAAAAGGCAGCGCTTCGACGAGACAGGTGAGGAGCTCGACATCTGAGTCCCCACGTAAGAGGAGCCTGCGAAACAGTGATCTGTGTTTTGGAGGACCCAATAAAAGATTATCCAATCCAATCAGCAGTGGCGGGCCTCCTCCACGTGAAGAAGAGAATGCTTCTCAACACGAAACTGACAGTGTGGGTTTATGCCCTACCAACTCAGTTCCTCATCATGCCATAGAAGGAATTTCTTGTTTTAAATTGCATTGCCATTTTTTAGACCGGCCTCATCTATGTGCTACTTGGACCAAGAAACATAAATGTTGTAGAATAACCAGTGAACAGAATCATGGAACTTACTACTACTGTGATAATATCGTCGAGATTATAGCTACTTTGCCATGCTTGACGTCGTCAAGCTAGATTGTCTCGTTTTTTGAATGTCTCTACCAATTTATTGCCACCGTCGTGCGACATTGCAGGTGCACTTCCGACCACGGTACTTACGACAGAACACCGCTATTAAGGCGATGGCTTTAGGTAGCCTTAGATGCAACATCAAAAGCGAAATATAATTGTTGGCAGCCTAAGGGGTGAGCTGTGCAAATTTACTGCTTCAGGTAGTACGACTTCTTTAATTGTGTGCTAAGCTCATCATCAAGTTAAGGCCGCACGGTTTAACGAAATAGCGAAAAGTTAAGCAGAACGCTGACCCGCCGGTCCCGACATTTGTGGGAAACGGGTCAACTCAGGTTCGACCTTCGGGACCCAATGAAGTTCTTCGCACCATACCAAGCGGCTCACACTGCCAGAGGCCAAAATCTGCGTGACACTAATGGCTCGTTCACACCGAAGACGGCGCGGCCAAGCGGCCAGGCGGGATTTTGGAAGTGGTTAGGGGACGAGTGCGTGAACCTGTTCAGACGGCATGCCTCTTTCGGGTGGCCGCCCGGCAGAAGAGGCGGACATCTCGCGATTTCCTGCGCGTGTCGTTATGACGTGTCACTGCGTTTCCCAAACATACACCCGCCCAGCACCGTCCGTCGGATGCGTGGCGTTCTGATTAGCTGCGCAAAGCGGCGAACCTCGGCAAGCGGCAAAAAATTGCTCCGAGAACGAGCTCCCTTGCCGCCTGGTTTTTGCCGTGTATTTTGTTAATATTGATCACTGGTGGAAAAACATCTGAGGAGGAACGTATAATAGAACTAGACTGCACCTATTTGTTTTAATGATGTATTAACAAAATGCAAGCACGACCAGCAGTCTCTCAAGGAAGAATTGATTCCTTATGATGGTTCTTATAATTAAAATCTTATGGTTGCCAAGCGATAATGTGAATAATGAATTTTGGTATGTTAATTCAGCAACACAACGTGCATAAAACGAGAATCAATATGGCAACCATGCTAACCTCATAAGCACATACTCGTTTCATATTTTATAACAAGTCTACTTTATAATTTCTATACTGTATAGCTATGTATTCTGTTTTATTGTTATTTGATTTAATTCTAAACAATACATTATAGCCTGTTAGCGCAGCTAAGCAGTTATTAAAATGTTTAGGCATCCCCCTCCTCTCTTTTTTTTAGATTCCGATGCTGCGCTATTCGTGGCTGATCTCCTTAGTGGGTTGAACTAATCCTTTTGCGTCCAACCAGCCAACCAACCAACCACGTGCATTGAACATGAGAGGCGCGTGCATTATACCGATAGACACGCAAAAACAGCTGCCATTAAACGCACCGATCACGCAGCGGACCAGCGCACGATATCGGCCATTTCCATAGCGGAGAGCGCAATGCGACTTCTGTAGGATCGACAAGGTGCGTCGTTTGTCAAAGCCACCGAAGCGTCGACAATGGCACCATCACAGAACAGCAAGAGGCGCTCTAGCGACACCGCAAAGTCGGCCCCGAAATGCCACTACGCTGGCAACAACCCGCCGTCGCGGGGCGCGCGTGAACGTGGCCGTGAGGGTGCGCCCGCTGAACGAGCGCGAGTCAGAGACGTCCAGCATCGTCTGCGTGGGTGACGACAGGTGCCTCGTGTTAAACCCCAAAGTCGAAGCCGAGTCCGTCAACTTTCGAGGGCAGCAAGCATGCGCGGGTTTCGTCAAGCCACACAAGGACTATACTTTCATGTTTGAAAAGGTCTTTAGTGAAGATAAGGACACTAAGGACGTCTTTGAGCGCACCACCAAAGAGATGCTCACGACGCTTCTTGACGGCTACAATTCTTCCGTTTTCGTGTATGGTGCAACCGGAACTGGCAAGATGTCACCATGATGGGATCCGACGATTGTCCCGGGGTAGTCTCCCTGACGGCAAGTGAGCTCTACCGGCGCGTGGATAGGCTCCGCTCCAAGGGCCAGTCATGCGACGTTGCAGTCGCCTACATGGAAGTCTAAAACAAGGTCGTACGCGACCTGCTGCGCCCCAAACGACCTTCGTTGGTCGTGCGCGACGACCCAGCTAAGGGCATTGCCATCTCCAACCTTTCTATTCACAAGGTGAAGGAATCTGGGGCACTGTTCGAATTCCTCCAGAAAGGCAACAGGAACAGGACACAGCATGCCACCCATGCCAACTCAGAGTCGTCGCGGTCTCATACAATATTTCAGATTTACATCACGCAGACTGAGAACGTGACCAGCACGAGCAAGGGGATTCGCGTCTCCAAGATGAGCTTTGTCGACCTAGCTGGCTCGGAGCGTGTCGCTGCCGTGACCAAAGACATCAAGGACCAGATACGCGAGGGCACCAAAGTCCACCTGTCGCTTCTGACCCTGGGCAACTGCTTTGATGCCCTCTCCGAGGGTGGGGCTCAGCGGGTTCCGTACCGGGACTCTAAGCTGACCCACATCCTGAAAGACTCTCTGGGTGGCACTTGTCGCACCCTCTTGATGGCTTTCGTGTCGCCATCCAAGCTCAGCTACACTGACACCCACAACACTCTCAAGTATGCCGAGCGCGCCATGAAGATCGAACTGCAGGCCCAGAAAAAGGTCCACAACGTCAACGCACACACGCCTATGTACAGCTCCCTCGTAGAGGAGTACAAGCGAAAGGTGGAAGGCCTTCAGCGCAAGCTCGACAAGGCAGAAAACGAGAAGTCCAAGCTCGAGATCCAGGTGGTCGAGCTCAAAGAGAGCCTCGCGACGGCCAAGGATGCCCTGCTTCGAGATCAACATACTGACGCCGGCAGCATCGTTCCAGCTTCGCATAACGATACCCTGTTGACGACGTCCTTCCCCTCACCGAGCATCGAGGCGAACGAGCGCAGCGACGACAGCAGGACGGCCTACTTCCTCGACACGGCCAGAAAGATCTATGCAGCACGAGCGAAGATCATTAGGCAGATATGGGAAAACGAAAACATCATTCGCGCCAGCGTGGTGAAGGAGAACTGGAAGCAGGAGATGGCGAAGAATGTCAACTTACTACAGGGCTCCACTGAAGACACTTTGAAGGTGTCTGAGCCCTATCGTCACTTTTGAAGTCTCAAGCAGCCAAACGTCTTGCTGCAAAAGAAAAGTTGAAGGCTCTTCACAACGAATGAATCCGAAACTTCGAGTGCAGCACAGACCTCCTGAAAGAGGCTTCCGCTGCCGGTTGCTTGAAGGCTGTGGTAGCAGAGATAGTCAAACAGGAGCTGGTGGTCGAGCGAACAGAATTGCACGGTCAGCGAGGATGTTCGCCGAGCTCACCAAACTTCTGTGTCAGAAGTGCAGCCACTGGGAGGACCTGAACAGCGTTGCAGTTCCTCACCTGCGCAGCCTCTACGTCATTCTAGAGTCCAAGAACTGCTGCTGCTCGGACCAACGAGATACCCACAAAGCTGTTGTCAAAAAGGCCAAGGGTCCCGGTGTCACATTGGCGGATAAAGAGAACAATGGGTCAAACGGTCAACTGGATCTCACAAATCTGCTCCATGCTCCCGATTGGCGGCAGGCCACAACAGTGCAACTGAAGTCTGTAGCTCTGCAATCTATTAAACTCGACAACTCTTGCCTTGTATAGTCGTCTAGAAGATCTTGGCCCATACTCACAGGGGGATTGGCCACACTGTACGCGATAGCGCAAATTGTTTACACAATTTCCGCTTGATAAAAACTAAGAAATTAGGTAAGGTCATAAATAGGGTTCCTTTAAAATATAAAAAGAGGGTTATATGGTCTAAGGAATCAGATAAATCAGAATATGCAAAACAAATTAGCAAAAATGGAGAACGGGGACCAAAAATAGGATATATCTTGCGGTACCTCTGGCAGCTTATCCTCCCGGTTGCCTGAATGTATTTACGTAGTGCTGACGGAATATCACTGCGGCCCGCACACAACTGACTTGGCTCCAAACGATAAAAGGGTGGGTGTAGTAACTGCCAATCCCAGCATACCAATCGGTCTCGCAAAAGTATTCGGTGCAGTGAGGCGAAACGGCGGCATGTGAGACGAAAGTGATCTATTGTTTCCGGTTCATTGCAAACTGCACATAGGTTAGTTAATTAAAATCTTGATTTGAAAAGATAATAATTTCATCGAGGAACTCTACAGCGAAAGCTTGTGAGGGTTCCCCCTTATATACAGGAAAGGCATTTTCGGTGTTCTTGTGAATTGCGAATGCCGCAGTTCTTCACATTGTAGGAGCGATATTTCGTGGATTTTGAAGATTAACAGGCGTCTGATTTGATCGGCAGTAATAAAAACTGCGGATCTACTAGTACCACCGAGAAATTTAAAAATACCGAAGCGAGCGAGTTAGCAGTTTCATTTATGCAATTCCAGCATGCCCGTGGACTCAAAGAAACCGAACTTCTGATAGGCTACGCGGTACGTGAGACCAAAATATTCTTGGTAAGGAGACTGCTTTGCGCACGTTAAATGTGTACAAACAGACAAAGCATCCAAAATATATGAAGTTTTTGTTGCTGAGAAATTATTTTTCGAAGAGCCAATGTAATATCCAAGATTTGTGCGAGTAAAATCGTCGGGAAGTCCGCCAATCGGAAGGCAAAGGACGAATTGAGCTGATGAGAAAAAGTGCCTACTGCCGCCTTCTGAAGATTTTTCGTTGCATCCGTCAAAATTACCACGTACTTAGGGAAATTGTTGACATGGTCTTGAAAGAACCCCTCCATAACATGCTTTAAAATTATAACTTAGCAATTCTTGAGAAATATCATCGAAAACTAAGTCAACTGGCATCGAGTACAAGGTTTGGGGAGCTAAATGCTTGAGGGAAACGTGAAGATTCAATAACAATGACTCGACGAAAATAACTTGACGTCGTTGATAGCGACGTCACGGCCGCTTAAAGAAAGAATCTGGAGATTTGATGAAAACTGTCTGAGAACGGGAGAGGGGTGCATCATAAAGTTTTAAAAATATGTTCCCGGTAAGCTGTCGAATTCTTACATCAAATGGAAAGTTTAGAGCTCTTAAATAAACACGCCATTCGCAACACACCTAGGTAGCCTGAGACACAGCCGCAGAGCTCGCCTTTCTAGCAATGTAGGAGATGTTAGTTTGTACTCAGCACTTCCGGAAACAGGACGCACCCAAACTCCAGAATTGGGCATACGTAACGTTTGTATACATCATAAGTAACGTAACCCTGCGCATCCCTAAATTCTTATTGCAAAACCGGCGTAGCAATGCTAAAGCGCTTTCTGCTTTACGGGTGTTTGATTCTATTTTTTGCTGCCAATTTAAATTGCCAACTTAAACAATGACAAGATATTTTAGTTTCGTTAATTCTGGAATCACATCATTTAGATAATGCAGTGAAAGAAATACGGGAACAGATAGAGGAAATACAAGCAGAGCACATTTGCTAGCATTAAGCGAAAAAGACAGCCCACCAAGCCACACTTCAAGCTCACACAAGTATGACTATAAGATTTCATACAAAGTATTGATATCTCGGAATGACGAGAAAGATGAATATCATCGGCGTAGGCGCAAAGAGGAGCAGTTTTATGAACTGGAATTGATGATAATAATATAACAAATAAAAATATGTGACAGAACTGATCCTTTCAAGGCTCCTTTGAAGACTCCTTTGTAGGCTTGCACGGGTGGCTCGTCTTCGCCGTCTTCGTTCACTGGCACAGAACTGGCGCACTGTTCACTGGCAAAAAAAACCAGGTGGCAATATGGTTAATTTTTACGCCTCACTGTAAGTGAAAAGTTGCGAGAAAACACCCTTATGAGTTCTAAATTACCAGCTGTATTTCAAGGAACACCGAAATTTTCGACATTGTCTGTCACTGCCTGATTGTATTTATCCCAGTTATGCTAATAATGATATTTTAATGGTTAAAATTAGTCGTAACGATCCTTTTTCAAATGTTTCTGACAGTTACTTTCAAACTGAATATTCAGGAAGCAACTGCTCCTAAAACTGCCGTCTTATTATTTCAATAATATACAATCCATATTCGATCCCTTAAAATTATGCTACTTCATTCGTAATGATGTGCGTCTAAAATTTCCTATTTACAAAGCCCTACAGGTAAAGGTCATCGACAGAAAAAACATCTGTCTGGAGCACTGGTGCGTGAACAGCTGTTTGAGATGTGAGCTCTTACAATACCGAGAGTTGACGCTGATTAATTTGTGCCCACATTGTTACGTTGCGCGCTCTATGAGACAGCGGAGGATTTTGTTTGTATCAACAGGGAACTATGCAAAGCAGTTTGCCTCAGCATCAAAGAAAAGGACACCCCCCTTATAATGGCGTGAGCACAGTGGGTAGTCTCCTTTACCTGTCAGGTGGGGTGTACGTTCCACTCAATTTAGTCCTTTGAGAACAAGCTGACCATTTTTTTAAATACAGAACATTCATTATTCGCACGATGTCACGGATCCGGAGTCGGCGGTGCCGTCGACAATACCGCTCTCGATGTTCACGTATCGTGCCAGCCTAGGAAGACAGCCGCAAAACTGGCGCCCCCCTCCCCCACAACCGTTAACTGGCAACCCCGTAAATGTAGGCACTCAATTGCGCATACGGAATGGAATCAAGTCGTCGTTACTTGCCTTTCGCTAGACTTGACGCTTTGCTTGACTCGAGAAGGCGCGATGACAACAAAAGTACCTTCAAGCAGTAGTTGGGCACAACCCAAATCAGCGTTTCATCCCTCGTTGAAGGCAACGCTTTTCCTTATCAGTAATAGGAATAATAAAGTAAATAGGAATAATAAAGGCGAAATCACAATTAGGCATTCCCTGATCTCGCGCAACATTCACGTGATACCCCAACAATCAGTGACGCAATTACTCGAGTCCCCCTCCCAATCTATTGGCAAGTTGCAGGAGGGACTTTTTTTTTTTCAAACGGCTTGAGTCCCCGTGGCCTGTTGCACACATCTATATATATATTAGGAGAACGTTACTGGGCTCTTTTTATCATGTCATTAAGTAAACGTGATCACTTAGATGCTTGTATTGCTTAACTCGCGGCATTCATTTTTAACTAGGCCAACAAAAAGGAGCAAGAACACAAATGCCCGTGTGCTAAGCCCTGTATTCTCTAGACTGATTTTTATTGCACAGATGAAAGTAACTTGCTGTGCCACCAAATATGATTTCTTTTCAACTAATGCCTTTGTTTCTTCTGCCAACAAATTGTGCACACGATGCTTTCTCAGCAGCCAGGAGATAGGAACATGTCGATAAGAGCAGAGTATTTATAACAATGTGAATAGGCGTTGAAAATGACTTTAATCATTACACTGATTCCTATTTCACTGATACATATTAAGTGAAAAAGCAGCACATCAGTAAAAAATATTATTATTAAACACGGTGCCTAGATTAGCCAGCATGCCTGACATGCCTCGAACGATATTACTAGCGCGCAGTGCTACTTCGTATGATTGATTGATTTGGGGGGTTTAACGTCGCAAAAACCACCATATTATTATGAGAGACGCCGTAGTGGAGGGCTCCGGAAATTTCGGACACCTGGGGTTCTTTAACGTGCACCCAAATCTGAATACACGGGCCTACAACATTTCCGCCTCCATTGGAAATGCAGCCGCCACAGCCGGGATTTGATCCCGCGACCTGCGGGTCAGCAGCCGAGTACCTTAGCCACTAGACCACCGTGGCGGGGCTACTTCGTATGCAGGCTGCTGCATGATAATGCACGTGAACGCAATTTTTTGAAGAATGACATGAAGTAGATTCTTCATTATTGCACACGCTTGGAAAAAGCGATTAGCACTCGTAAGTGCAACACGCGAAAAATAGTGCTAGCCAAGTTTCTCGAGCACATCAAGGCTGCATGCGCTGTACATCGTCTGCTCAACGCCCCGCAGTCCTGCTTACAGCGCCCCATGCGGCATCGGTGCATTTCGGAGACCCCTTTCCCCGGGTGTTTTCACACCTCCAAAATCTAGACACCCTACCTTGAGCTACAAGTAGTTGCCGTCGCGCGATTTGAGGTGGAGCTACTGTATGGGGCGCCAGGTATTCGCATGGCGCTCATTCCG